GTCAGACCCCCCTGTGTGAGGCTGCCTGCCACTGCGGCACCCCCGCTGACTACGGAGGGTGGATTAATTGGATTTTACAAAATGTGATGCTTTGATATTTACTGTACGATCCCATTGCATTTCTTGCAACCACAAGAAATTGCTTTTTGGAACAGCAATAATGATAAAAAAAAACTGTGTCGGACTGAAATAGATGCAGTTCCCTCTTTTCTCCTGCATCAGAGCTCATTTATTAGGAGCCTAATGGAGGAGTCAGAGACGCGAAAGAGCTTAGCATTTCTTAAACATGGAAGTTCGAAAAAGGGCTCACACGTGTCCCATATTGTGTTTTATTATTGCTAGTAAAGAAACGGAATGGTTTTCAAGGATACAGTCACCGGAGAGCCATCGCTCACAGTAGTTTTAGGCTCACAGATTGAATACTCAATGCGTGTTTTTTTTTTATGGGCACGTCCTGTAGACTTTTATAAAGTAAACTTCATTAGGTTTATTTTTTTGTTCACTAAACTGTCATAAAAAAAGGCAGTTCTGTCACTCAAATCACCATTGTGATATATTTTTTAAATAAAATGGCCAGATCCTTTTTGTCTTTCTAAGGTTCATTTAGAGCATTTTTTTATATATATTAAATACAATTAAATGTTTTTTATTATAATGATATTAAAAATCAAAGTCATGGACATTAGCTGTATTTAAAATGCTTTTTTTCCAATTCAACTTTTTACTTGAATTGTTATGCTGAAAATATTTGTTATTACCAATTCTGTATTAAAAATGGACTTGGACACTTTTCACATTTCCGGGATTCTCAGAAGCAGAATTTATCGGCAGAAAATCAAATGTTTGTATTTGCTTTTGCTCCAATAGCAAAAGAAAAAAAAAATCCTAAATAGCATCAAGAAAACCAAAATGTATCAGCCATTTTATTAGGTTGTTCTGAGAGTCTGATAACACGCACAATGGAATCACATCGACATATCCGAGACATGTAATTGCATTTATTGTGTATAACTCGCATCAATATGATTTGTTGTCGTTTGCAGCAAGTAGGCAGTGCCTTAATGTGATTGAGTAGCGACGGGGAGGTTGTTGTGTATTTCACTGACATCATTACAGTCTTCAGACTAACCTTGAGCTTGCTGGCCTTTGCATCTTCGAATGTGGGCTGGAAATAAAAATTATTCCATTTTACTGCAGTACAGCACTATGTCCCTGCTTTGATCCATCTGTCACTTATGACCCCGACTGTCAGTCACCTCTCTCATCCCCTCCCGCACCCGCCCACTGGGTACTGCTGGATCCCGTCTACACTTGCCATCTGGCTCTTTATGAGATGTGCCGGACTTACTGTGACTCTTAATGAATATATTTAGAAGGAATGGTTTTCCTCCTATCAGAAGGTTATGTTGTCATTCAGCTTTGGTTGTTTAGATCTGAGATAATTAATTTGCTCAATAATAGTACATAATTATTGTGGTGGCAACACTGTTGAAGATGTATGTTTATTAACTATTAATTATTATTATTATACAGTTTATCAGTCATTCAAATTACAGCAATACTACTAATAATAATAGTGATAATAATCACATCAATAATAAATATATGTATTATTATGGAAAAAAAAAATATTGAAAAAAAAACAATAAAAACATTTGATCATTTTTAATGTCAAATGTCAATTTACACAACCCGGAAAGGACTGCGTAATTAAAGCGATAAAGTACTGTAAGTATAAGGGAACAATATCTAAAGTTTGGGAAATAAAGGGGTAACAACCAGGAGAATTAAAAAATATATTTATACTGTAAGTATTATAGAACTAAGGGGAACTTATTCTACTATTATGATACAACAATCTTACACTTGGGAGCAATTTAGCAAGAACATACAATGCGTGGCTTTTTGTAATAATGGTGTACCACTACATATTGTGTATAGGCTTTTTAAAAATTATAGGGTACATATCTATACATTTATACAGTAATCTTTTTAACAAAAGTGCACTGACAACTAAAACTATTGCAACTTTTGCCTAAATATTGTGGAAAGATACTCTTGTTTCATTAGTGGTGCTTGTTACCCTCTTGTTTCATGTATTTACAGGGTAAGTACAATAAAAATAAATACACAATCTTATATCATTAACTCGGAAACCTCGGAAAACTATTTGAAAAACAACTTAATTCAGAACACTTATAATGCAAGCTCATGTGTTCCTAAAAGGTGGAGCATCAAACAGCACATACTGCAAAAACTGTAGTACTCCATACGACCCCAATGGATGGATCAATGTCTTATGAAGGGAAATAAGTGTTTGTCAGAAAAATTACAATATTTTAAACTTTTTAAACTGTAGACTATCTCTTCAGACTAACTGTAATAAGTTGTTTTTCAAATAAAGGTTTCTGAGTCAGTGATATTATATTGTGTATGTATTTTTCTTGTACTTACCTTGTAACTATGGAACAAGAGGGTAACTAACACCACTTTAATTTACGGCCCGCAATGTCACACTTACCCTGTATCTACGTAAAACAAGAGGTAACAAGCACCACTTAACCTGTAACTACATAGAACAAAAGTATATTTCCCAGTTTTAAAAAAATTGCAATAGTTTTAGCTTTACTTTTCCCTTGTAACATGTAAGCCCAAACTTAAACATCTGCTCTTTTGCTATAAAAACAAACAAATAAAAAAACAACTGTTTAAATACATAGAGATGTACCCTGTAATTTTTAAAAAGCCTATACACAATATGTATTGGTACACCATTATTACAAAAAGGTACGCAGTGTATATTCTCGCTAATGTAAGATTGTTGTATCATAATAGTAGAATAAGTACCCCATAGTTATATAATACTTACAGTATAAATCATTGTTTAGTTCTCCTGGTTGTTACCCCTTTATTCCCCAAACTTTACATATTGTCCCCTTATACTTACATGTAAGTACTTTATAGGTACACTATAATTACCAAAAATTACACTGTAAATTCGTCTTAATTACGCAGTACTTTCCGGGCTGTAATCTAAAGCGTTACCAGAAAAAAATAACATTTATTTTGAGATTTGTGAAAGATTACATGCGCCATCTTAAAATATTAATAGTGTTATGTTGCCAGTGTTTACGGGTTTTTTGGGACAGCTGAATCTGAATTTTTTTTGCAATTCTGTTTGGTGACGCTGGAGCCACAGAAAATGTGCATCAAAACAAATTCACGCTCACTGAGTGCAACACGAAATTTCGATTTGACAAGCAACTACTTAAGCATGAAAAACCATTGCTTTGTGCCATTAAATCATTTCACTGTGAGTGAAGGGCTCCATTGGGATCCATTGTTTCATTTTAACTTCTTGTTGTGGTGAAAATTTGCATTAAGTGAGGGCATTACAATGCTTATGCCTTCAGTTCAGCTGCCAGGATGGAGGAAGACATAACTCACGACATGTTCTGTGTGGGACTCCATCACAGCTATAAATATTCAGTGTGGGGGCTTGCATTGTGCCAGTGCAGCTGCATAACTATTCCTAACTATTGTTACTCTCACATACTTACTACTAACCATTAGCCTGTCACGATCTCTTATTCCGATTGACCAACAGAAGGAACGGGCTCTGACTCTTGCAGCCTTCCTTGTGATCGGATTAGTCATATCAGCCCAGGTCCTGATAAAGACCTGACGATCAACAGTGGAGATGTGGCATCTTGTCCAGATGGAGCCGTGGCTGTTTTTGTGTTTGTCGGAATGAAATCTTGGCTGGAGCGGCGTCTGACTCAAAGCAGATGGGTGGCGGCAGACTCCTCTGTGAGGTAGCAGCTCTCTTGATGAGATACTGAGCTCTGGTGGCATGATCCATCCATTATTGAACTGCTCTGTCAGCTTATGTAGAAGAGCTAGATGCCCAGTGCAGACAAACACTTGATTAATCACTGGGGCTTTTAAAGAAACAGCTTACCATGAAATGAAAATCCGGTTATCATTTACTCACCTTCATGCTTTTCCAAACCTGTATGGCTATCATTTTTCTGTGAAACACAAAAGGAGACATTTTGAAGAATTGTACTAGTCACTTTTTACTGTTTACAAAGGCTTTCAACTTTCAAAAAGGAATAGAAATAATCATAAGTGTATCCAACTTGACTTGTGCCCTTTTTTAAGTGTTCTGAAAGCACACGATACATTTGTGTCAGACATTTTGACTTAAGAAATTAATAAGTTGTCATTTATCGAAAATATTCATTGAAAATTTGTTGGAAATGTGAAGGTATAATCATTCGTTTGAATCAGATCTTTTCAATGAATCAGTTGATCTGGTTCACAGAATCCAACTGCATGATTTTTTCATGGATTGGTCCAATTCGTAAAAAAAATCATTATTTTATGCTGGATCTTTTCAATGAATCAACTGATCTGGTTCACGGATTTGGTCTCGGTAAGTTGTTCATGAATTGGTCCAATTCGTGAACAATTCATTCTGAGTTGGATCTTTTTTTTTTCAATATAGAGACTGATTCTGTGAAACAGATCAGTTGATTCAAGTTGTTTATGTATTTGTCCAATTTGTGAACAAATCATTCTTTTCATTTGGATCTTTTCAATGAATCAATCAAATGATCTGTTTCACAAAATCAGTCTGAATTATTTGTTCATGAATTGGTCCAGTTCGTGAATGGATTATTCCTTTTGAGTTGGATCTTTTCAATTAATCAATATATCTTGTTCATGGAATATGTCGGAATATTTGTTCATGGATTAGTCCTATTCTCAAATTTAACTCATTGACTCAAAGCAGTTCTCGGGTTAACAGCTCCCACTTCTATGGAGTTGTATGGACCACTTTTACGATACTTTGATGGTGATTTTGGTGAAGCTTTGAACACAATGAGATTGAGAAAATTATTGGATGAACACTCCATTCAAAACATGTGTGCATTTGAATTTTCCCTTTTTGAATACAATTTTAACAGATGCTTTTCTCCTTCATTTCTCTGCAGCGGAGCCTCTCCCTCTGATGGACCTGTGTCGACGTGCGGCACGACTGGCTCTGGGACGAGAACGTCTACAGGAGATCGAGACGTTGCCTTTGCCCCAGTCTCTGAAGAATTACCTCCAGTACCAGTGAGAGCACAGGCTCTCACGTAGAAACACACACGGACACCGAGAGGAAGCCTGAGGCGGGAATATAGCGCCACCATCAGGCCGCAGAGGGAAATGTTTACATTGTGGCTCACTGGTGGAATCTTAAGTTAGTTTTTATTTTATTTTGTATCTGTTTTTGTTTAGTTTTCATTTTCCTCTTTATGAGTTGTTTAAATTATTGATGGCTTTGGAAGAAGCAGCTCAACAGACCTGCAGCGCCTCCAGGTGTACGTCTCGCCCTGGAGAATACGACAGGAAGCGGCGTTCCAGAAAGCACATTAACCTTGGGATGCCTTTGAAAAGCCCACAGTAATAACCGTTCCTCTTTCCCTGGGTGTAAAGCCTGCAGAGCACAGTCAACGGACACAGGAGACCGAGGCGGCTGAAGGTCGGGCTCAGCCGCCTCCCGAGTCAAAATCCGCCAAACGGGAGCCTAGAGGAAGAAACAAGCCCTGGAAGGTGGTAAGCAGGTGCCAGTACTTGTGCACAAGACCACCAGGGGACAGTATGACTGGCAGCAGCCATTTCCCCCCCTTTTTCCTGGGATCGAAGTGTATTCCCGAGGACACACTCATGCGTACGCACATATACGACCAACAATCATATACAGATTTCACTTCTTTTTTTTTTCTCTGTGGGCTTGAGTCATTTTTCTATCTGATTTTATTGTCAGTGTGAGAATTTCAGTTGATGATGATTTTATCAAGATGTTTGGCTATCTTTACATTTATTTATCAGGTTCTAGTTCCTTTTTAATTGAAATGAGGATGTGCGAGCACATAGATATTGAACACTATCATACACTCGTCACATATGGCTTTCTATTTTAAACTGGAATGCTGCTTTTATTATTATTAATATTATTATTATCATGATTATTATTCTGTCTGAATGCTCAGATAAAAGTCTGTTTTTTTCAGAGGCACACAGTGGAATGTAAAGATCTTGCTAGCGTTAGCATATTTGAAATGTGAATAAAAGCCAAGTGAATGAGAAGGATGTCATTGATAATTTTTTATTCTGAGACAGAATATGTCCGGATGAGTGTTTCAACCTTCTTATTGAATAAAAATATGTGTGTTTTTCAGCACAGAAGGGCCTATTTACATAATACCACTTCTTTTTCTAACGTTCCACTGAGAGTTACCTCGTTTCCCACTCACTCTCTCTCTCTCTGTCTCTCCTGTCTCTCCTGTCTGACTCCCACTCTATCACAGTCTGAGGCTGATCTAAAGTATTATCTAACCTAAATCTGTGAAGAATTGGATCACTCTTCTCAAGATCAAGTTCATGAGAGTTTTTTTAACCAGCCACTAACCGCAGGTGCTTCAGTAATCCAAACCTCTCTTGTGTTCTTAATCACTCAGTTATTCACCTAAAGAAAAAAAAAACATAACTTTTTTTAAGCGAATAAAATTACAGGAAATGCTGACTAATCAATTTATTGACATATCAGTTTTTGCAAAAATAATGATAATTCAAAGATGCTGTTGGACAAGTAAGGGATAATCCACGGCTAGCCATGCATTAAAGGATTTTAATGCACGACGTAGAGGCGAAGAACCACCCGACGCGAAGCGGAGGGTGGTTGCCTCTACGTCGTGCATTAAAATCCTTTAATGCATGGCTAGCCGTGGATTATCCCGCTTATACCTCGGTTATTTGCCAAGTTAATAAGAAGTTAAAGCTGTAACTGATGTTTACAATGTAATTTTTTAACAGACGTGTAAAAATGACGGTTATTTTCTTAAGTTACGGCTCGTTAGTTCTAGCACTCCGTCCGCTTTAAATAAAGTAGAGCCATCGGATTGCTTTTATTTGAATGAATTATCACATTTATTTAAATTCATTATTAAGAGAGAGAGACAGAGAACTGAAAGAGAAGAAAGAGAGAGAGAGAGAGAGAGAGAGAGAGAGAGAGAGAGAGAGAGAGAGAGATGCGTGCGCGAGTTATGAGCGTCTCTTCTTTAAAGTCTACAGTCCCTCGTTGCTTAAGCATAGGCCTATAACTTAATGATTCATGGATTTATTAAAATTATTTATGAATGATAGGCAACACTGACAGTGACAAGGCAAGCTTTATTTGAACTAATCATGTCATTTATTTAAATGAATTAGCTGTATGTCAAACCAAACTTTTCTTACGCGGATGATGAACGCTGGTGTCTTTTCCATTTTTCCTGTAGCGCTTTAAAAACTGATTTAAAGACGGCATTGCTTGACTTGAAGTCTTTATCCCTTATGATGTTGTATTTTGTAATGTGACGGTTTATACCTGCTCTGAGACGCATCAAACTTGCAACACTGTATTCGCGTCCAGCGGTAGACTGAACAGAGGCATAAAACTCCCGAAATGTCTAATTTAAAAGAGAAGCAGAGTAACGTTAGATCTCGAAATCACAATTGTTCTGTCTTTGGCGCAACAAGTCACTGAAAGTGTTAACTGCCCATTTAGTTGTCTTTTTCGTATTGATCTTATCTTTGTCGTCTTCGATCTTATCTAGCTCTGTCTTTTCCCTAAAAAAAAAAAAAAGCCTAAAACGTATCTAAGTAATATATACAGTAGTAGGCTATTTCGTTGTCACCCTGCCTCTCCAAATGCATAACTGACATTAACAAAATGCAATAATGCAGTAACAGCTGAAAAAGTACTTGGGTGTGTGTTTTATTTTATATTTACCGGTCAATAATGCAATCGCTGCTGTCTGTCCCATAGAAGAACATGACAGCCCGCGTATGTTTTGGAACTATTGGGGCTTACATGAACCACGTGACAGCCATCGCGAGCGATCAAAGAGTGTCGCAACTCTTTCTCTCTATGGCTCTGAGCCTACCTAACGTTTTCATATGTGTCTCTCTCTCTCACTCTTTTGCAAGTGTAACTCTGTTACTATGGTTACCAATGTGTATAGCAGCGGATTAATTTCGAACTGTAATCAAACTGACTGGAACTACCTGTGCATTAAACGGTTTTACTGCACACCTTCCAGCCAATCAGAATCGAGTATTTAAACAGCCGTGGTATAATGATTGAATAGACATAAAGTGGCTGTAGGGCTCAGTATTTAACCTGGCCTAAGGCAAAATAGTCAAATTCAAGTGAAGTAGCAGAACTGTAAGAATGTGACTTTTATTATAATATGTTCTGCGTACACTATTTGCTAATGTTTTTTTTGTTTTTTTTAGTTACATAACTAATATACTCTACTGTTCAAAAGTTTGGGGTCAGTTTCAATATTACTGTTTTTACTGTATTTTTTGCCTTGGTGCACATAGGAGACTTATTTCAAAAAACATTGTTAAAATATCACCGACCCCAAAGGTTTGAAGTAGTGGTAGTATTGTTTAATATAATGATGTCATTTTATATATTTTTATAATGGGTGTTAAATGTTTTAAATGGGTAACAAAATAAATCAGTAATCCAGCTTGGATCAAATCTTAAAGCTGCCGTTTTTCCTCATTGTCGCCATCTCTGTTCGAAATCTGCAATTGCAGTCATTCGCGGAATTATCAACTTTATGCGAGTTGTACTTCGACACGGCACAGCGCGGATGAAACCAATGTTTGAGGAGAATGTGCAGCTGTCAGTCGCCGCACCGGTGTGGATACTGTCATTCAGAATCACAGATTATTCTTTTTGGAAGTATGACCAACATAATAATTGTCATCTGAACAAGTAAGTAACATCCACCAGTACCACTGGAATTAAAACCATTATTACAAGCATACCGCTTTGAATCGAGCTAAGGCAAGCAGATAGTTTTGAACACTGGCTGGTTATGTATTTTTTCAAATATGTATTTTGGATAATTTTTAACCCAAAAAAAGCTACGGACTGCAGCTTTAAGTGCAAATGTTGAAGAGAAACTCCATACTGTCTCTGCACTTCTTCCATTAAGGTCAACAAACTTTAAGTGGATTTTTTAGGTAAAGGAAAATACTGATCTTTGCTTCAAATAGTGTGATAGGGCTGTTTGGATAATATTGCCCTGTTTTAGTGTATCTGGACATGTTAGGACTGTCCTATTGGAAATCAATGTAAGACTGCAAGACACTGTCCTTCTGCGCACTTTTTTCTTCTTGGCTTCTCTCTTTCACGTTAGAAATCAGCTCAAATGTAATTGAATATCACAGATCAGAGAGCACAGGTACAAAGACGGGACCCTGATCAAAGCATTGAGATGGAGAACAAGGCACTATGGTTCAAGCCAGGACATTGATCCTCCCTATCCTCTGTTTCCCCCCAATCTGGTCTTAAATCTCTGACAAACATGTTTAACCAAAGGGAACAGACTGTTCCCGTGTCTTCCAGCCTTGAGAGAATGGCCGAAGTGTCTGTGTTTGTGTACAAATGCTTACGAAACACCTTGGGAATCACTGATTGTTTATGTTTTAAGTCCTTCATTATTAGCAGGCGATTGTTGAGCTCTTGGAAATGAGAATTGTCCTGACTTCCTCCCAGTGTGATTCTCCATATGCTGTGTAGACATGGGCCAGTGGCTATTTCCTTAACTTACCGGGGTGTAAATAGGAGGGCGAGAGCTCATCCACCACTGAGAGGCCTTGGGAGATGGGTGTAAAAAAAAAGAAAAAAGCGAGACTTCCTTGATTTGCTTCCTTCCCTGTGGGCGTGTGGCTGTTGTGTGTGTGAGAGAGAACGAGGGTATAAATAGGGAGCCGGTGGCAGTGATGGTCTGGGGAAAAGATCTTTGTGTCCTAAACGACCTCAGCTTCCACATGCAGGTGCATCCTGGCCTGCGCTGGTCACAACATCACTGAGGGTACAAGAAAACAGTGCCGGTCAATCTGTTCTGCTGAGAAAACACTGGAGAGATGGCACCTTTTGTTGCGGTGTTCTCGCTGCAGATTTCCCGTTCATGTGCCAGAACTCAGACTTCTATTCTATTTAAAAAAGGAAGTCCAGGAGAACAGATTGTTTCTTTGAGGGACAGCCTGGTTGGAAAGTAAATGTGTAAAAGCTTAAATTAATGAATGAATAAATGAATTGTGGTGATTTACAATCAAGCAAAGGATAATGAAAGGTTTCATTTATGCTACATTCCTTTTCTTGTATTTATTTAATGCTCTGTTGCTTAGGTTGAGCATGTCACATGCTCATCTTACCCCACACTCACCATTTTGGGAATAATGCTTCTTGAGGTCAGGCTCACTTTTATGTCTTTGTTATGAAAGCACCATTTAAACAGTAACATTTGAATTTTCTCCTTCTTGACATTCACTTTTTTGGAAAAATTTTAAGTTCACCACAGATTGAATGAAATGATTGCTGCTTCTTGAAAATGCTGTCACATACTTTTTTTTCTTTTTTCTTTTTTTTCTGTTCGTTTAAAAACCAGGGGTTGCACATTTTACAGTCCTCCCCTATTTGAAAATACTTTACTGTTTTGTTCTGCAACATAAATTACACATGAATACAGTAAATTACACAAAAATACAGTAAAAACTGAAATATTATGAAATATTATTACAATTTAAGAAAACTTTTTTCTATTGGAATATATATTCAAACATAATTTATCCCTTTGATGGTAAAGCTGAATTTTCAGCATCATTACTCCAGTCTTCAGTGTCACATGATCCTTCAGAAATCTTTCTAATAGGATTTGCGGCTCAAATAACATTTCTTCTTACCAACAATGTTGAAAAACAGTCGTGCTGCTTAATATTTTTGTAAAAACCATAATACCTGTTTTTCAGGATTCTTTGATAAATAGAAAGTCATACGAAGAGAATTGATTTAAAACATACACCTTTAACATTATGAATGTCCTTACTCCTGAATGAAAGTATTAATTTCACCAAAAAAAACAAACCTTACCTTACCTTACCTGACCCTAAACTTGTAAACACATATTTGTGGTACAGATGCAATTAAGAAAGTGTCTTAAAGTACTGTTAACCATAGACCTTATTTTACTCATAAGTCCAAAACCATTGCTCTAAAAACCCATTAGAAATTCCCGTAGTGTATTGCTCTTCCAGGTTGGCCTACAAACGGACTTTTAATGACTGAACAGCTCTGTAATGTTATGCTAACATTGCAAATTCTGTTCGTCAGGGTGATTACAGCGCCAGCTTCCAATAGGCTGAGGGGATTTGGGGTATTTGGACTCAGCATGGCCCAATATTGAACAGGTGATTGTAAGGATTTGATTGAAAATGAGCCTGTGTGGTTTTCTCTCCAGCTTAAGAGAAAACCACACAGGGAGTGTACAGAGAGATGAAACAGATTAGCGCGAGTCAACATACTCTCTTCCTCCTTCACTCCCCTTCATTTTCTCTCCTCTCACGCTCGGTTTTCCGAGCCAGCCTGTATAAATAGCATGCGATCCATCTATTATGTCTGTGCGTCTCCACTCTCCCTGGATCCTGTTTAGCTTCTCAGCTCTCCTTGAGAGCCCTGTTGCAAAAGCAGCATTAAAGAGTTTCTGGAAGCGCCCAATTTTCCCATATAGCATTGTCTGATTTAATGTTGTGCTTCCAGGAACATTCTAGAAGACTCGGTGCAAGCCTAAAAAAACATCACAAACTTGGGTCAACCTGAGCCACGTAGGTTGTTTAGGGCCATGATAGCCAAGACTGGAACGTGTAAATAGTATAATATAAAAAATATGGAAATATTAGGAAAAAACTAATTATTAAATGTATGTGTGTTTATTATTATTATTATTATTTACTTAGGCTACATAAAGTAGTAGATTAAGTAGTTGCGCATGCTTTCTTAGTAAGATTTAACAAGAAACAAAGCTCGGATTCATTCTTTAGTGACCAGCCACTAAGAGCCCTGCCACCTTCCAACAAATGAATAAATGAGCTAATAAAAATAATTAAAAGAAAAACAAAGGAAATAGTGGTCATCATGGCCATGGCATGGTCGCCAACATAAAAATGAGAGTGACAGGTAAGGGTGTCTAGTGGCTTTCTGACATATGCAATATAGCACATGGACAACTGAAGGGTTGGAGATGAAATCCCATGATCCATCTATACCTCCTTTCACTTTATGAAATCTGATAGATTAAAAGCTTCTGGCCACTATATAAATAAATAAGGCATAATCTTCCATGCCACCTCACCAAATGGTTCCATATTAAACATTACAGGTTAGCATGGATTTGGTTTAATGATGTTTGCCATTTTCTAATGAGTGCTAATATTACACTTGCCCATGTGTCACCATTTATTATTACAGCACCAGATTGGACCTCAGAGTTAAATAATTGGAAAAGTATTCATATTAAGCATGTGCAGCAGATTCAATTTGTCGTGTTCTCCGAGATTCAAGTGAATTAGGGATTGTGCTTTGATGTGACTTGCTTGCTGATCAATTTCTTTTTCCCACAAACCCTTCCCCAAATGATTCCATGCAGATGCAGGAAAAAGTGAAGCCCTCTTGATTTGAAAAGTGCAAAGCAGGCCCTTGGGTTCATCTGTGTCTGCGCTGGTGCTGCTCAAATTAGGTTAATTAGCTCTCACAGCCAGGAGAAATTCTTAATGAGGTCTAACATACCATACATCCTGATTAAGTGCACACAAAAAGCAATCAAAAACTGTTTTAAGCCCAAAGTATACTTTATATAGTTTTTAAGCGTACATGATGGTCCACGTACATAGTGCGCGTGATGCAAATTCCGTCACTGGTACTGAACTGTGTGTGCGCCGCCTGATTTTGTTTTGTTACTTTGTAGGCGCAGGTCGCACGTGAACATTGAATTTATTTTGCACTTATCAGTTGTTCCACAAGGTGGCAACACTGCCCCAGGCCGTTGTTTCACAGTAAAAAATGAATTTAAAGAGACGGAATAAAAACAACAACAACAAAAATACAGAAGACCGCAACAACAACATACGTCCACATTGACAAGCACTTGTGTGAGGAGGGGGTAATGTGATTGCAACAACTTTAGTTTAGAAAATACAAAGATATTTTTATCGGTCATAACTTCTGGAAGAAAATAGCACAAACACTGGTCAATAATGAAACTTCCTAGAACGCATGTGTCGACCGTCTGCATTCACACATGCTATTAAATGGATTATACTTTGAAAGGTTAAGACTGTACCCATGCACTAGCGTACACATAAAAAACAATGTATACTTTGGGCTTAGGCCCAGACAGCAACATAGTGTCGGCCCAGATGGATGTGGGCCGGATCTGGCTATTCACACTGGCTATTTTAACCGTTTTTGCGGTTAAAAATTACGTTTCACTCCAGGGCAGTGAATATATGCTTCAGGCCTACTGTTATAATATGCTGTTAATATGAATCAAACAACAAAAGAAAAATAGAAAATCACACTGCTCTTGATTGAATAACTTCAGTAGTTTTAATAAGAATAGATTTTTACTTGAATGCTAATGCTCTGGCGAGGAGATAAACTTGGCTGACTGTCACAGACATAAGGCCATGTTATTAGATGCATACTGCCCTAACGAATAGCTAATTTTGAGTAAATAGATCTTTATTAATTCATGCGCATCTATACTCTCGATTTCTTCATGGTAAAATAGTAACGAGGCACAAAGTAAATAGGTTATGTTATAGTATACAAAAACCAGCAATTGTAACGTGTGAGCATGCAAAAAAAAATCCTGTGCGCACGCAATAGTTTCTCGTGAGCCCGTAAAAAGTTTCTCATGCGCACTCGAAAGTCTGTGTGTGTATAGGCTATATATATATATATATATATATATATATATATATATATATATATATATATATATATATATATAGTCATATGCATATGGTCTACAGAGCCCTTTATATATATATATACTCTAAAAAATGCTGGGTGTTTGGGTAAAATATGGACAAACCCAAACTTTGGGTTAAAAATGTCATTTAAAATGGTAACCCAATTACTGGGTTTGTCAATATTTGATCCAAATTTGGGTTGAAATAACCCAGCATTTTTTAGAGTGTATATATGCACAACACAAGTCCCTTTATATATATGCACAACACAAGTTCCTTTTAAGGGCTCTGTAGACCATATGCAGTATTATAACTACAGATAATGTATATCTTAACACTTTAATGAAAACATTATTTTGTAGAGCAAGGCACTGAGAATCTGGTGGCTCGTTGTATGAAGAGGTGGACGGCGACGCTGGAATGGTGGTAAACGTTAATAGAGTAATAAATTGTGAGCTGTAAACGACTGGCAGGACCCTGGAGGCTGAGACAATGTGACAGATTGGACTTTGGTCAGGAGTGTAGCAGGACTGGCATGTTGCAAACACGTGACATCACAAGCCCTATGTTATGTACCACTTTCTTCTTCATCATGGATTAATGTGCAAGAGCTATGCTTTACCATTACATGTCATCATTAGCATGCATTACACACCGTCATTAGCACAATTGCCTTTCTTCCAATATTGATCAATAATATGATCCAGTTCTGACTCATGTCACGTGGATTGCTGCATGTGATGAGCTGTTTGCTTTGTCACTCAATTTCTCTCTCAGCCCCAATTTATATTGTCCTGTTCTGTAAAGCATATGTGTATATAATGTGGTATATCCGTGGCATGCTTAAAAAAAAAAAAAAAAAAAAAAATAACAAGCCGAAAACTAAAGCCTGCCTAATAATCTTTATCTTTTAGTTGCATCCATCAAGTTTTCAACAAAAAGGAAATAAGATTTTTTTTTTTTGCAATGCATTTAATTCACTGCATTGTGAAATTAATATGCACTGCAATTTCCAGCCAAAATAACTATATCATGATATATGTCAGCATTATATAAAATACAAATATAAAAATTTTCATATTGTAACAGCCTATTGACGTCTTAAAACATCTAGCGTGCTACACACCAAGTTAATCACTATAATATTTAAGCTCTGTGGGACTAAAGGGTTGTGCTTTGTGCCCAAGTTTTTTAAAAGTGGTTTAAAAGTTTCTTGTTAATAGGCTATTTGGAGTCCTCTAGAGGCATACAAGAGTCAACACATCCTCTTTTAACTGCGTATTTACAACTAAGCAGAAGGCTGCCCTCTTCCAGCTGAATTTAGTCATTACAAGTTATGATATATATATAATTCAATCACATGATATATACTTTTATATACACTTTTATATAGATTTATCTTTTCTTCTCTGCTCTGCCAGTGTGTTTTGTGTTCCCAGTCTCTTTTGCCATTATTTTGTTAAGTTTGGGATTCCTGTTTTTTTCTTTTGCTTATGGTTTTCTCTTCTGTGCAGTTGTGTTGCGGTTGCTTGTTTGCCCCCCAGAACTCACCTGTCTTGGACATCTCTCCTGGTTTTGACCATCTGATCTGGTTCTGGTTTTGGAGTCTGGATTCTCACTCAAACACTGCTTGCTGTTCTGACTATCAGCCTGATTTTGAACATGAGCTTGGATATCTCTGATACTGTCTGCCTCTTGTTTGATCTATCTGTTCATCTGACTTCGACTCTCACCTCATGACTGGATATTATTTGCTGATGGACTAATCTGGATTTCTATTCCAGCCTGTTTGACTTTACCTCTGCCTATTGCCCATAGTTGGTTCGGAGCATGACCTTTACTCCATCTGATTATATTGTGAATTAAAAATTAATCCACCTGGTCTAAAGTATCAAGTCAGTATCAGCTGGCTTTCCCTTTTTTCTTGTAACAGTTGCCACTATTCAGACATCTAATAAACCAAGTGAATACTGGTTTACAAAGACGCATCTGCAAGGAAAATCCAACCATTGGTATGTTCTCTTATGTGGTATGGCTTCTGTATCAATGTCTGTTTATATGACACTCTAAAAAATATTTAGGCTAAATGAACTGCAATTATCTGAGCATGTTAGCAATTATGATACAATGCTGGTGTGAAATGTGTGAAATAATAAAGACCTTTTTAAAAATGTTTTTTAAAAAGATGCTCACCAAGGCTGCCTTTATTGGATCAAAAATACTGTAAAAATAGTGCTTGAAATATTATTAAAATTTAAAAGTCAATGTTATCTGTTTTAATGCATTTTAAAATGTAATGCATTCATCGGATGCCAAAGCTGAATTTTCAGCAGCCATTACTCCAGTCTTAAGTTTCATACCATTCAAGTGGGTATCTTAATGACACATTGATAGTGCACAGTCAAGGAGAGTTTAATTTTCACACTCATTTAGTCCACAGCTATTCAGGTTATGTGATTGTGACAGGTAACAATGCCCTGTACCATTATGTGTCTGCTTCTTTTTTCTTTTTCTTTTTTAGCTGTGCTAGTATGTCTGAGGTCCAGAAGGACGTTCTCACAGGGATTCAGTCTGAGCTGGCAGAGCTGAAATCCACTGTGAGTTCTCTAAAGAACAGACTGCAGGTCACCGAGGAACAACTGCAACAGCTCAGGGAAAACGGTAACATAATCCTGCCTGTTCTTATCCTATACTTGTAAAACGCTAAACAGTTTAAATATAAGTAAAAATCAGAGGAAACTCTCAGTTAGATAGCCTCACCCTGGCCATCAAATGCTCACAGAACATACATGGATCCATAAAGGGTGATCCACATTTTTTTTTATAGTGGTGCGGTTTCTCCATATATGATTTCGAAATAAAATAAAAACTATTCTAAGTTCCAAGCTATTAACCAAATCAACCATAAGATGATTCACAACCCTTTGGTTGCCCAATGCCCTAGGTACTCTCAAAGTGCACCAGATTGATGAATTTAACACCTGTCCTTTGGAATTCTCTGCCTCTTGAACTTAGGGAATCCCAGTCTTATGCCATTTTTAAAGGTCAACTTAAGACATACTTTTTTAAACTTGCATTCACATGTTGATGTGGGTTTTTTTTAACAATTGCCCATTGTTTAGGCATATACAGCGCGTTGAGAAGTTGCTTTTAAAGGCGCTTTATAAAATAAAGGTTATTATTATTATTTTGTTACAGTGTCTGTCTACTGTTGGTTTTCATTTATACTTCTGCGTCGTTGTCCGCATTGACGCGCAATTACACATGCAGAGGGAGCATGTGAAATCCGGGGAGCGGTTCTAGCAGGCCAATCACAGCGCTTGCGGTACGCGTAGAATTGACGCGTTGTTACATTTTTGGAGAGGTGCACGTCAGGGTACGCCGAAGGGTACGCGCGCTACACACAGCCTATGATGTAGCTACGGCGTGAGTTTGACAAGAAGTATAAATTGGGCCTTAGGTCCGACGCAGAAGTATAAATCAGCCTTAACCTAACGTAACGCAACTCCCCCCTCCCTCCCATTAGGAAATGATCGACAATAATCATCTATTCAATCTAATAATCAAGTTGACAAGTAATTAAACGTGTGGCTGAGGGGCGCCTTATGATGATCATGTTTAATAAACATGTTTTATTTCGCTTGTCATTCTAATTCTATGATTAATGGGAAGAAGGCAAAGGGCGACACTAGAGGTCGCCTGCGCGCCGAACACATTTGCCGCCCTAGGCGATCGCCTAGTTCACCTATAGCAATCGCCGGCCCAGTTCACAACTGTACTAAATAAAATTTTCAGTCCATTAGTAGTGCTCACACCTTAAGAAGCATTCAGTCCTGCTGTAGAGATAAGTGAAATGGTAAAATGGTAATGGTTATAGCAGCAAAATGTATAATAAGCATTTTTATAATATATTATTATACAGTTTGTGTGATTAGTACGGAGCCCCTAAAGGGACCTTTGCAAAAAAAAAAAAAAAAAAAAAAATAACTATCGCGTGCGCACGAGAAACTATTGCGTGCGCATGAGAAACAATCGCGTGCGCACGCAATAGGTTTCGCGTGCGCACGCGATAGTCTTTATTTATTTTTATTTTTGCAAAGGTCCCTTTAGGGCAGTGGTTCTCAAACTTTTTCGGTCATTCCCCACTTTGGACAAGGGATAATTTTCAAGCCCCACCTGCCCCCATCGCCCCGACACAATGCTAATGAAATACGTAACTGTCAGGAGCCAATCAGATCCCTCACATGTCACCACGCAAAGATCACTGTCCCCAGATTACTGATCACCTGCACCTGTTTCCACTCAGCACTCACTTCCCAGCCAGCACAAAAGCACCCGATTCACTCCCAGTCATTGTCAAGCCTCCAACAGGAACGACCCTTACCAGTCACCACTTGTCTCACTCTGAGCCATCCTTCAGCAACGGACGTAAAGTATACTTACCTGAAAGAAACTAACCTTGTTATCCTTGTTCTGATGTTCCCAGGATCCGCTCCATGACTCATGTTCTCCGTTTCCTGGAATCCGCCACGAGTCCCGTTTCCCACTGGATGAGCTGCAAGAGAAAGTGAAAGTATCACTGAACTGGTGAGCTCATTGTCAAGTGCACTTCAAAGGATCTACTCACCTGGAATCCTTCCTGAATCACGCCTATCCACGAACGATCTGAAAAGAGAGGAAAAACTCAAGTTATTGATCTGTGTTACCCGCCACGTTATTCCTTAAGAAGAGGATTCACTCACCTGGATGCATTCCTGCCACATATATCCTCTTCGAGATCACCGTTGAACTCCCGAAACCCTGCATACTTACCTTTGAGTTAAATAAAGATACATTTATGTTTATCACTTACCTCTGTCTCCGAGCCTGAATCCTGACAGTAACAAGCTTAAAATGTTCCAATTTATTGAAGTAACAAGTAGTATCAGTATAGTAACAAGTTGTATCTAAATACAAACTAACTATATATCTACATCAAATAACAGCAAGTTCAAAAATAAAGAAAATGAAGTGCATCTGTGTCATAACTTGCATGAAATTCAAAAATAGAGAAAATAAAAGTGCCTCAAAAATAGAAAAGAAATAAAAGTGCCACTTTGCAATCTGTTAAAAAAAGAAAAGAAGAGAAATCCATTTGGCAAGACAGGTCTATTTATCCCTGCATTAGTGACTGCAATGAGCCTGTTTTGCATTGCACAATTTCTCAAAGCAGGGTTGCAGGCTTGATACTGACACTCAAATCATGTTCAATGTTCAGAGAAATTTCATGTCTTGTCGTAAGCCACAAAATAATGACGTCACATATTTTCCAACCCAGCCCTCAGCCCTCACTTACGCATGAAACAGCTTCCAGCGCGCCTGGCCATCGGCGCGAAACATAGGCTACATATCTATGGGCGCAAAAGTTTGTTCCGCTACAATTAATATGTCGACGTCACGTCAATCATTATTTGGGGGGTGGGGAATTCCTGTTACTTGTTGTCGCCCCCGGGGGTGATCGGTCTAATAAGCGGCAACACACAGCTATAAGGACGGTTTGCTCTCACATGCGCTGCATTAATAGTCACACACACGCGCGCGCAGTCTCTACTCTAGTGCGCGGTCTTGCTCCAGATTCCGGGAGATTGGATCTCAATTGCGGGCGTCAAGGAGCCGCTATCAATATGCGGGAGACTCCCGGAACTTCCGGGACATTTGGGATGTCTGGATAAAGATATAAAGGCATAAAAAGGAAAATTTCCTCCCGTTTGGCGCGCTCCACCTGTTACGTGTTTATTCCCCACCAGTGGGGCGCGCCCCACACTTTGAGAACCGCTGCTTTAGGGGCTCCGTAGATTAGTGTGTTTGAATTTTTTTTTTTTTTTTTTACAAAACATGATCTGATTCACACAGATTATAAAGTGGCATTTGGTGCCACACTTGGATCAACAGGTGACTTTGGACCCTTCAACTCTCCAGTCACACTGGTTTACGATAATGTCTATGTGAATGAAGGAGGAGCTTACAACCCAACCACTGGTATGTATTCTTATAACCTACATCAAGGTTTTATAATCATACTGAAAACTACATTTTGTCAAAATGAGCAGTGTAATTATTTAAAAGATCACTGTTTATTGAACTGTTACAGGTATCTTCACAGCACCTGTAAAAGGGGCCTATTTCTTCACTTTGTCTGGACATAACCGCTCATCTAAAGTTCTGAATTTAGGACTCTTTAAAAATGGAGAACAGATGGTAATTGTTTTCAATCATCCTCTAGGTGACCGCTATGAATCAACCGCTAATTCAATCTCTTTGATTTTAGAGAAAGGAGATTGTGTCTGTGTGCGTCTCCGGGAGACTTCATGGGTCTTTGATAATTACAGCCACCACAATTCATTTGTTGGCCATTTACTTTTTCCTCTTTGACAATCTTACTTAATTCGTGAAGCTTCAAGTCAAAATGAGCATTTATTTTTCAAGACTAAAATTTTATTCTGGAATGTTTTCATATGCATAAGAAATATGCTTTTAAGGACAAGATGCAGGCCTGGTGAAAGTTAGTGTGAAAAACAACAATGGAGGGAACAAGTACTAGAGTGCTGTACGAATATTATATTTAACCCTTATAACTTGAGCAACAAGCTGAGCTAATCAAATTTCATAGTTAACTTTTGCCTTGTAACAGAAGAGGGAGATTGCTAAATTGCATATATGAAGAGCCAATTAAATTTGAGAAAAATTATGTAATCATATCTTTGCTCATGTACAAACTGTTGTCATCTTTTTGCTGGTAAGTTTTCTCTGATCTGTCAGAGATACTCTGAGCCATGATTAAAGCATTTCACAGGCATTGTCTGGAGTCTTGTCTGGTAACTGCTGTGCAGCACGCAAGTAGAGATCCTAATGTCCAGTTCCCAAATGATAGTGTCCATAGGGGGCGGGACGCCGTCTGACGAAGCCAATCTGAGGTGTCTGGGGAGTATAATTACTTTATATTATATTTATTTAAAAATAATATTTTTGATTG